TATTAATAACATTGAAAAGTTTAGGTGCTATAGTGACATATTTTTAAGCTCTTCACTCAGTAAAATGAAAAGTTTAAAAATAAAAGAAACAACTCAGCTTAAAGCAAAATTAAGAGTAGAACATATTCCCAATATTTACCTAAACAATTTTACGGAATTTGAAAACTTGACATCGATGTTCTGTGCATATAATTCAAGTCATTTTTAACTACTACATGGTTGTGATTTGCGCGTTCAATGTCTGAACATTGCAAAAGAAATGGTTAACTTTATCTTTAATAAAGCTAAGAGTTCTCTTAAACTAAGAAGCCAAGAAAAATAAAAGTGAGCTCAACTAAAAAATGTATAAATAAATTTATATTTTATTAGAGAAAGTAAATATAGATCAAATTGTTAGTAATGATTTATTTACTACTAACCCGTATTACGGGTAGCTTTCTGTATAAATAAATTTATATTTTATTAGAGAAAGTAAATAAATATCAAATTGTTAGTAATGATTTATTTACTACTAACCCGTATTACGGGTTGCTTACTGATAGTTAGATATAAATATAAGAGGACAATTGTGCGCGGAATTTTCAAACTGACAAAAATGATTCAATATCTAAAGCTGCTATATTTCACAAAGAACTACATATTATAGTGAGATGTTTAGCAAGCTAAAAACTTTATAGCTAAATTATATTTTTAAGGGAGGACATTTAAAGATATTTTGCTTAAAAAGGAGGCTTAAATTGGAGAATGACGGAGAAAGGTTTACTTGTTTATGATTCCAGACAAATAGACAATTTAATAGATAAACGAGATCATGCAATTAAAGCATTTTTTGTACAAATAAAAAGAATGCCTCGTTTTTTTAGGTTAGATAATCATAAAAAAATATGAGACTTATTTTGTCGCCAAACCTAAAAAGCATAACTGAAACGCAGCCATTAAAGTAGAATGGATAAATCATAATTAATATGCTTGTTAGTTTTATTTCATGATTTGTTGGTGTCATTTTTTCATGAGTAAGTTGGTATGGTCGGCAAAATGGTGAACTGATGAAAATTTTAGAGAGATAATAAAATCACTTATAAAATAAGGAAAAATAACAGTCCTAACATAGAACCTTGGGGTAAACATGTAAAGCATTTTATTTGGAAAGATTTAGTATCATTGATGGAGACAAATTGCGATTCATCAAGAAGAGTTGATAAAAACCATGGGAAAGCATTAACTCGTAAACCGTTGTGTTCCAATTTACTTTGGAAGATGGACAGATCAATAGAATTCAAGGTTCTCTCCAAGTCAAGAAAAATTTCACATGCCGCATGTGAAATTTTGGCATCATCTTTGGCATGATGCCAAAAGTTTATTGCCAAGAGCTTTTCTAATAGTTTCAGTTATTTTATTAGGTGCGCGAGTTGTGAAATGTTTGTTACATAATTCATACTGATGTTTGAAGAGACGTAATTTTGCTATAAATTCTGTTGTGCATAGCTTTTTCAAATATTTTGCTAATGTTAGATTAAAAAAAGAAATTGATCATGAGTTTGTGTGGTCCATTAGAGAACCAGTTTAATGGATAGGAATTACTTTGGGTATCTTTAAAACATCTGGAAGAAGTCATCTGTATATGTAACTTATATATGGCTAATTGCTATATATAGGCCACATACACAGGCCCGCGAAGAAAAGTTTAGCTCACTAAAGAGCATCATTACTCGGTTTGCAGACTGAAAGTCAGTGAGTTTAAAAAGAACAAGTTAAAAAAGACGAGTGAAAATCAAAAAAAGTTTAATTAGAAAGATACCATAAAAAAAGCGGACAGATAATGCACTAGATGGTATAATGTGCAATGGAATACACAATAAAACTAGCCTTAACTAAATATATTTTTCAATATGGTACAGAAAGGCTTGCAAATAACATTAGAAATATGTTTAAGAAGGTGTGTGGGGATACTATTTCTACCTAAACTTATACCGTTTTGTAAAGTACCGTAAACGGGGGTGAATATGAACGCTTTTTGAACATTTTTGCATCATGAAAGAAAACTGTTGGCCTAATTGCAACCATTTTTTCTGTAACAGAACATTATACTACTCAGCTTCCTGTATTAGTCGTAAGCCTTATCAACACTATGCAGTAAATACTTTAGTTTTCTGGTTTTATACGAGCATATACGTATTTCCGAAACGGGGTGAAAATGAACGGCCAATTTGGCGTGACTTTGAACACTACATATTATTTCTATATTCTAGTATATCGCTATATTACCTTATTACAATGGGGGAAAAAACTGTTAAAGATCAAAACAGATAACATGAAGTTTATTTTACATAGAACATATTTTTATTTAAACTAAGTTCATGTGAAAAATTAGCATACTATGTTTAAAAACTAGTTTTTTCAATATATTAACATGTATCACAATATTTACAAATCTGTTCCACATAAAAACAGAACATTAAATATCACTATCCTCAAATTTCTTCAAATGACTCACACATGCTGCATACAAAGCATAAAATATTTTCAATATTGAGCTCATAATAATCATCTTTATCATAAATGAGGCCACAACACTGGAGGTGATATGGTTTACTGCATTTGTCGCATTGAACCCACACGTCGTCGCTTAACTCTACCCATTTTTTGTTACAGAAAGTACAGTACCAATCATTATCTGTGTTGCTTTTTAGCTCTGTTGAACTTGATGGAATTGACTCAACTAAAGAATGAATTCTTTTACCTAGTACCACCTTTGGATTACGAGGTTTGCGTTTTGTAGTTGGATTTGTGCCTAACCCTAGATTGTTTTTTAGAATATCTAAAACAGATTCGTTAAGAACCATAACAGTGTCATTACCACCAGGGTCTTTATATTTTCCTGGAAGACGTTTTATAACCTCTGTTCTGTCCATAGGGTAGATTCCCGTTGCTTTAAATCCGCTAACCAAAGCTACTGGTCGCAAAGTATTATTTAGTTTATTTAAAAGCGTAGGTAAATGTTCTTTTGGGATAGCTCCTTTGATACGACTTTCTGATCTCCACTTCAAAAGAATACTCCTCCACGACTGCTTTAATCCTCTAAAAACAGCAACATCTAATGGTTGGCAGAGATGAGTCGCATTTGGAGGCATTGTTATAAACTTGATGTTATGTTGAATAGTGGCTTTAATAACTTCAGGAGAAAAATGTGAACCAAGATTATCTCCAATCAATAGTGTTGTTCCGGCTTTTGAAATAGCAACAGGCAAATATATTTCCATAAACCATCTGGTAAACGTCTTACCATCAAACCACCCGTTAGGGGTGATGTCGTAAACAGTTCCAGGTGGTCCACCTTGAGTCCAACCCTGGTAAAGGTTCTTTGCTAAAAAGTCTTTGACTAAAAGTCTTATATCCAAAGAATCAAATGGTACCCTCCAATCAGTCATATGTACAATTGTTTAGACAAATAAATTTTCTGTTATACTATCAAGTCTGGTTTGTCCGCCGTTTTTTTTCGGAACTTGATCCCCAAGCTTAACTTTTTGTGTAATGTTCCTAATGGAATATTGTACTTTTTTGAAGCTTTCTTGAAGCTAAATCCTTGGTTTTTGATTATAATTAAAGCTATTTCTAAGTCTTTTTTTGAATAACTTGTTTTATAAGCTCTACTGTTTTCTTTTTTCTTGTAATTTCGAGGCATAGTTCTAAAAATTAACAAAATATAATAAAAAATCGTGTTAAAATAATGTCATTTTTAAATAAGCTTATAATCGGATACAGACAAGTTATACATTAAATTATTGTTTTATTAGAACATTATTTACCTGAACCTAAATTGAGGTAACTTTGATGACGTTTAGGTGAGCCGTTCTTAAGATACTCCTTGATAGGTGGGTTAATAACACGAACCACGTAGCTTGTACTGTTTATATGCGATAGAGATTCGGGCAGCCGAAAATTATCTTCCACACATTATATTTAAGACAAGTGAGTCAAAAAATTTCAATTTTTAGCTACATTTTATGTGCTGCTTCACCAATAAGTTAAGCTAGTACTAGTGTTCATTTTCACCCCGCTGTTCATATTGGTTAGCGTTCTATCGGATGATTCAAAATAAAACTTTGAACTTTTAAAAAAACGCAGACCTAGAATGTTTTCATCTGCTTGTACGCATGCGTTTAAATTAAAAACAAGCACGCTGGATTTTTATAAAACGAGCTCTTCTGACATAATATTCTATATACACTATAACAATATATATGCAGTATAGTTATATATGTACATATGTAGTATGTTGTATATGTACATGTGTAGTATAGTTATAGTTATATATGTATAAATGTGTGTTTATAATAATATTATATACACACTTTTACAATATTGTTGTATATGTGTGTATATAACAAACGTTGTATATATTAAATATATACTGATATACAATATGTATATATATAATTATATAAATATATATTATTAAATACATATATAATTAAACAAATATATAAAATTATATATATATATATATATATATATATAAAATTATAATATACGTTGTATATGTTAAATATACAGAGATACACAATATATATATATATATATATATATATATATATATATATATATATATATATATATATATATATATATATATATATATATATATATATGTATATGTATACATATATATATATATATATATATATATATATATATATATATATATATATATATATATATATATATATATATATATATGTATATATATATATATATATATATATATATATATATATGCATATATATATATATATATATATATATATATATATGTATATATATATGTATATATATATATATATATATATATATATATATATATATATGTATATATATATATATATATATATATATATATATATATATATATATATATATATATATATATATATATATATATATATATATATATATATATATACAATTGTATTATTTCATAAAACTAATTGTCAATATTTATTTTAGTTAAAAAGTTATAATGGAAGCCAATGACCAAACTAATGAAAAGTTAACTTCTTTAAAGTCAATTGTGGAATCTAGTAGGTTTTCATTATTTTGTATTCATAATTATATTGCAAACCTCCTTTTTAAAAGAATATATTTCCTTTATGAAATGATATGCCTTTTTTTATAAAACAAGTATCACCAAAAAGAGTTATATCTTTGAAAGAGCAGATAGGTATTTGCTATTTATTTTAATTTACATTTAATTTCTGATACAGCCAGATTTATATTACAGTTTATTTAGAAATCTTTTTTCTTTTTTTAGCTTGCAAACAGGATGAGTTAGGTAGGTAATTCATGTTAGAGGTTTTGTTATTAATTAAAATACAGTTTTATATATGATATAAAACAAAGCTTGTAATATGTTGCATCAAAGATTTAAAACTATTTTGTTTTGTAGAAAAAAGAAAAGCAATACTTGGTAATTTTTAGTTATGTATTTATTTAAACTGTTAACAAATTTATTCATATTTAAGTTATTTTTTACATTAGTTTAATACTTTTTTTTTAATTCTTATTTTTTGCTTTAGACGTTGCTGAGAAAAAGAACAAAAAGATTTTTTAACAGTTTTTCAGGTATGAAATACCTGAAAAAGATTTATATCTTAGGATTTTTTTGTTTCAAATAATATAATACTTTTGCATTATTTGTTTCATTTAAATTTTTTCATGCACTTTTATTTTTTCTCTGGTGATCTTTTTTTTTTGATTAATTTGTTTATAAACTAATTCACACTAAACAATGCTGCATATCTTACAGTATGTTTAATAGTTCAATGTTGTATTGTTCAAGAATACTTATAAAGGACTGGAACATTGTCTAGACCACAAATGTTTTTTATGTGAGAAATATCTTAAGCAACGGAATCAAGAGTAATTTGGATGTCTATCAGTGGATTAACTGGTTATGCTGGAATGACAGCCAGAGTTTGATCATAAGAATCAAGAAACAAAATAAAGGAAAAGTTCTTTGTAAATAGTTTTTGCTTTATCTTTGAGAGAGATACTTAAAGTAGAGGTGGAATGTTAGATGTTGGCTACTCTGATGATATTTCCCAAAAGTTTATAGAACTTAAATTTCTGAAATAAGATTCCACATTTGGTTATCTGGGACAATGACCTTTAGTGTCAGACAAGACCTTTTTTTGATCAATTTTTGCAATGATAAAAGAATCTTTTTTTAAGAATCTTTTGCTTTAAAAAATGATCAAGAATACCAGTAACAACTGCACAAATAGGGAAAAACCTTCGGATAGAGTGAAGCTTGACTTGAAACCGAAATAAACACTTCTATCCCTTTCTCAATCCAGGAGATAGTAGGTAATTGTTAGAAGTTTTATTTATTGCTATGAAGATTTATTGGATTTTTTACTTTGTGATAATGTAATTGTAATTAGATTATTTTAAATATGTATATTTTAAAAATAGTTGCTGTTGATGATAAAGATTATAAAGGTATTTAAATTAATATTGGTTTTATGTTTACTAAGTTAACATCTTTTACTCATTATACCTCGATTAAAGCATTAATAATTATGATTCAAGATTTGTGTAGTTTTATTTGATAACATTTCTATGCGTTTCGTTTATCTTTAGAGAGAGAAGTCTTGAAACAATTGGGTTGTTACACTTACAGTGTTTATTATACAACTTACTTATTATATTGAATTTTTTAATTTAATTAATTTTTTTGTTTTTTGTTTTAATTTAACTCTTCTTTTTTAATGAAACCTGTTCATATTCAGAAGCCGAGGAAGATGAAATTGGTAAGCTTTATAATCATAAAATTTAGAGGTTTAAACGCTGTTTTTTTAAACTTTATGATCTTCATTTCACATTTAGCTTTAAAAGAAATGCAAATGAAGCAAGGTAATATATTTTATATTGTTCTGTGGTTTAACTTATTTTTTGTTTTGATACGCAATTGAATTATCTTGGTGATTTATTTTTAAAAATACTCAATGAGGAAATAAGTATATGTTGTTTGTACTTATTTTTATGATAAAATAACTTTGAAAAAGCAAATGTTATACAAAATTGCTTATCGTTAGTTGCAAAAAATTAATTTTTTTTTATGATAATAAACTGATTATGATTATTAACAAAATGTTATGTAAACACTTGTGCGTAAACGTTTTTTATAGATATTTACAACTTTTACTTTTTTTTTTTTTTTTATATAACACTGTTACTATTTTTTTCATTGTTTCAATATCAAATATTTTAGTCAATTTAAGGTTACTCTGTTACTAGTAATATGTAACCTTTCAAAATCTACTTCATTTATAGGGGGGGGGGGGGGGAAGGCTCATCGACTAGAGTGAAAGCAGAATAGAATCTATGATATAAAACCCTAATTTTGAGTAAAGGTAGGAGGAGTAGCACGTTAACCTGGGACGGTAATTTTTCTAGTAGTAGAATTGCGTGATAAAATACTCCTTTATCTGTATAACAGGTAAAAATCAAGAAGGTTTATCTGATTTAAAAAAAAGTACTTTGACTCTTCTCTAATATCAAATATGATACGTTATGAATATAATGTAAAGCCATGCATATCACACAAGTGGGAATACATGAATGTTAAAAAATCGGTTGGTTTCGATTTAATCAAGTATATTTTGGAGCCACTTTTTCACTTCTATTTAAGCAAATTCACAATAAGTAAAGTTTTTGCAATTAGTTTGAATATTAACAGTTGTTAAAAATAATTATCTGGTTTAATATTTACATTTTGTTTTGTTTAATATTTACATTTTGTTTTGTTTTGTTAAAATTACTTATCTAGTTTTAAAATGTACTTTTGTTTATAGTTCGCAAACAGGATGAGTTAGGTACGTAGTATGTATTGCAGTTTTAACTAATTTACTAATTTTGCTAAAAATATTGTAAAAAGTTGCATTAATGCAAAAAAAATTTTTTTAGCTAAAAGAAAAGCATTGCTGGGTAAAAATAATGTTTATCTGTGTATTTTGTATATTGAATATTCTGAACATTATTAAGTTAATATTGAATGAATTAGTGTTTGTTGACTTTTCTATCCTCAAGAGCCCATCATTACCTGTAAAAATAAATAATAAATTTGTTTGGTTTGCTAAAGTTATTTTTACTTTTTAAGTTATGAATCATTAGTTGAGTTATTCCAAGGTATTTGAAATGTGTTTGCATTACTAGTATCTACAAATTAAAAACCTTTAGAAATCTGTGCAAGCTAGATTAAGATAAGTATAAATAAAATTATAATATTTATAATAAAATTTGACTAGTACGCAAATGTTTATACAAAAAGTTTATTTAAGGACCACAAGAAAAGATTTGCGAACCAAAAAAGAAACGTATGTGTTATTTTTTTAGCACATTTAACTTTTAGTTTTATCTCGTTATTAATTTCTTACTTTCACATTTTTAACATTTTATAGAACTTACGCGGGACGATTTTCTAAGTTGGCGACGAGAGCACGACGGGCCAAAATCTCGTAGTGCCTTCAAGGTTTGGCGACGCAATGGCGGTAGAGATTTTGAAAATTTCCGTAACAACTCACGTCGTGGAGGTGGTCGAGGCGGTCGGGAAAGAGGCGTCGTGGTGAATCACTATTACTAATTTTAAATATAGTATATACATGCGAAAAAGTTGTGTTTTTATATTGTTAACCTACTTTTGTACTTTTTTTCCTTAACTTTGAAAAATAGATTAAAGTCAACAAAAAAATAAGAATAATATACACACACTTTCAAAACGTTACAATTCTTCAAGTATTCTTCACCCATCTCCCGTCCCACATCAATGGTTTTTTCGTTTATTTAGTCAGCAAATTTGACCCTTTTAGACAAGTCAATCGGCTAAATTTGTTTTTTTAGTCAGCATAATTTTTATTGGCAACCCCACGTGACACCTACTCGAGCCGTCCATGTTTATATATATATATATATATATATATATATATATATATATATATATATATATATATATATATATATATATATATATATATAAATTATAGCAAAATGGCATAAAAAAACAATTTAGTCATTAAAAGATCCTAATATAATAATATGCATTTGATGATTTCTCAAGTTTATTTTGAAATATCTAAAAAATATAACCAAAAATAACTGCAGAAAAAATGCAAAGAATATAAGAATCTATGGATGATATTAATTTTCATTAAAGCATCAAAAAGAAAACAAAAACTTTACGTAAAATACTTAAAAAAAAATAAATACAGATAATGGAAAAATCTCCAAAAACTATAAAACATTTTTTAAAATAAAGTAAAAAAAAGGTATTTTTATATCAGCTTGATTAACATAAATTCGACATTTATAGAACTTGGACTGTTATAAGTGAAGAGGAAGAGGAAAAAAAGTTATCCTAACTAACCACAAAAACTTCTTTTCGATTAAAAAATTATAACTAGCGAAACAAATATATGTCAAGATCTTAACAAATATTTTGTTAATGTGGCGTCCCAATCTTGAAATGTAACCCCACTCTCATACTTTTAACATTGTGCAACTAAATCAAACATTTGATAATTTTTGGGAGAAGAACCCAATACTAGTATAAATAATGAAATGATAACGAAACTTGAATTTAATAAAGCAACTATTTAACTTAACCGCAACAAGTTATATTGTCAAAAAAGGTGATTTCAATGTTTCTCTTTTCATTTATTAAATCAAATACCGTAAACCGGGGTAACTTTGTACCAATTTTAATAAAGAAGATAACTTGAGTATAAACCTACGGGGTAACTTTGACCACCCTGTAAAAAAACTAGAATGCTGTTACTTGAGCCAAAAACTTTTCGCCTAATTTTATCTTGTCTTTAAAACAGAAGAAAAACTGAGTTGTTTGCTATCATTTTTTATCTTCGCCCAGACAACATTTTGTTTTACAGTTTTTGATGGTGTTTTACCAAGATGTAGTTTTTATTCTTTTTTACTTATAGTAAAAAGCATTTTTAACAAACTTCAGATCAAAATTTAAGCTAGAAAGATTGCATTTACAAATAAAACTTACCCTTTTTAAAAATTACCAAAGTTAACTGTACTTGTATTTTTTTTTTTTTTTTTGTAGTTGTAAAAGGATTATTTAATCTTATTGGTTAATTTTTTTTTTTATAACTACCTCTCTACTTTGTATAAGTTTTAAGTTTTTTTATCGGTGGTTTATTTTTTTTATATAACTATACTTAGTTTAAGTTTTTCATCATGTTTTAATTTTTTCACCGGGGGCTCTCTGTGACGAGACCTGATGATTTTCTTAGAGTATCTGCGTTATTTATTTATTTATATTTACGTTATCTTCACTTGTACTTTTTCTCTTGTATATTGAATATTTTAATAAAGAACAAAACAAAAACACACAAAACAAAATTATCCATAAATTGTGGAAAAAAATAACTTTACTCTTTTTGTATATCTACATATGTGTATCTATATCTATATCTATATCTATATATATATATATCTATATCTATCTATATCTATATATAATTTAACAAATAAAAATAAAGTACAAGGTTTCATTTATCCAAATAAACAAAAAAATTATTTTTTCATTTTCTTTAAAATTTACAATTAGTTTATATTCATTTTATCAAAGTTTCTCAGATTAATTTTGAGTTTTTAATATTTAGCGTCTATAAAAAGGGATTTTTATTCGGTGAATATTAATTTGTAGCGTTTTCAGTTTAGATTAATTTTCTTTTTCGTCTTGGCATTTAGTTATGAATCAAAAGGAAAGTATATGAACTTAACCTTTTGAAATCATTTTTATCAGTAAGCACCAACGTGAAGGTAGCCAAGATACGCTTACCGCCCTAAAAAAAAGTAAGAAGCATTCTCAGATTTCATTAACTGGAAAACCATTTTACACTCTATGTCACTATATTAATAGAGAGAATCTAAAATGAGGCGCCTCACAGGAAAAGGTACCAAGTCTTTATTTCTAGACTCGAAGATATACGCGTTTTAAGAAAAGAAAAAAAAAGTTGAAAAATTTGAATCTAGCTTTATTCTTTTTTCGAGCAGTTTTATAATTATTTAGTAATAGTTTTTAAAATAAATATTCAAAATATACATTAACTTTATTACTATTTTTAAGTTACACAGTTTTAAAGTATGTCAAACTTTAATAACTCATATTATACTGTAATTTCATTTTTAAAACACTTCCTTGAAAAACTATGTAAAAAGAAAATGTAACAATAATGATGCTATCAAGTTAATTTTTGTTTTATTTTGTGTCTTATTATTATCCTCTATGCAACTGTATCAGTAACTCCATTTCTAAGACTTGGTACCTTTTCCTGTGAGATGCATCTCATATATATATTCTTTTTATATAGCCCTAACGGCTTATACCACAAAAAGGCTCTATTTCATTAGTATACCGATTCCAATTAGGTATAAGCAGTTCAATGTCAATAATATTACCAGCACAATGACACAAACAAATCAAATAGGGCATTTTATACCAGTACAAAGACAACAGTATATTTGTGCCAAATGTTAAAAATACATGTCATCAAAATGGTATAAATCTATAGTGAAAGATTTAAACTACATTAAATCATCATGTAAAATGGTTTATTGCAATAATACTATAGTTGCAATAATTATCAACAACTTAAGACAATGCCTAAAAAGATTTAATTTTTAAACTATTGGCAGATATATAAAATTAAAAAACAATACAAGCCTCATTTCATGACAAACTCTTTTTATAGCCTCAATTTTATGACAAACTCTTCTTACAGCTGTGACAATTCCATAGTTCATCTTCTGTTTCATAGGCACTCTGCGGTATCTTTTCGCATTCGCGATGATACCATTTTTGGCAAGTGTTACATTGAGCCATTTGTCTTAAAAATAAATTTTGTCTAATGTTATTATTTGTACTATTGATTATTATATTATTATTGTTAATTAATATTATAGAAAATTAAACAACATCTCAAATGATATATTTTACCTGTTAAAGATTTTATCATCTTTAGGAGACCAAAACATGCGACATGAGCAATGTAAAAGTACGCGGAATGTCTTTGCTCCACATCTGCGAAACCCATTTGAATTAACAGCGAGTGGGAAAACATCTAACTGGCTGTTTAATATACAATGTAGAAGATGTTTTCGCATTTTATTTTGCTCAAATGTTATTGTAGTTGATGGTACACCCTTTGCCTCAAGGATTTGTCTAGCCCAGGCAATAGCATACATTCCACAATCAACACCATTAGTTTGCTGTTGAATGGGTAATACTTTAATAACAATATATTTTAGATCACAATGCAGAATGGAGCATATTTGTCTTTTTGTGTCAAAAGAAACTGATCCATGAAAAAGGCTGTCAAAAAGAAATATCTCTCCTGGTTTGCAATTGTAAGTGGTCACACAAACCCAGTGGAGATTGCCATCATGTAGAATTTGAACAAATGGAATGCTTTGAAGTATTTCAAAGGATAGAACTTTTCCTTTGATAGGATCTTGCAGACCAATATTGATACCTAATTGCACTGACATGACTTGCTGACAAAAATGAATGATATTATCATTAATCATTTGTTCTTTTTCAATTTCATTCCATTCTATATTTCCAATCAAATATGATTTCAGATATTTAATACGCTGAACAGTGTTTTGCTGTTTATTTGCATCATTACATACATTAGCTTTTAAAACCTCATTTATCAAAACTTCTTCAGTTTGAATGGAACTTTGAATAATAGATTCACAGGGAACTGTAAAGATTTCACAATTTTTATCTATGGAGTGACATGTAATTATCTCAGAGTCACATGACAACAAAGAATCATTTTTATTTATTACACTAATAACTGAGGCTGCTTTATACATGTCATAGTTTTTACCAACTTTTTTAGTCAGTTTTCTTTTGCGTCTTACTGGTAGCTGTCCAAGTCTTGGTAAATTTGACTGAGACTTGTTCCAAGTATTTGGTTTATTTTCTGGATGCAAGAAAATACCTTGTTCCACTGGAAGACTTTCTGCTAAGTTTGTTTTGAGTTGATTAAGCCCTGCAAAAAAATTATCAATAGCTTTTTGCGAGGTGCATAAATAAGTCATTTGTGTTTTTGATTTATAAGTTCACGACATTTTTCAGAAGTGGGATGATTGTTTTTAACTTGACAGTTTAGCTCTGTATTGTTTTCTTTTTTATTCTGACCACTTACTACTGTTTGCTCAACTGGATTTTGCATTAATTTTGTTTGCGCCACAAGATTATTTTGCAACAAAATGTTGCTGGAATGAAGAAACTGTTGAGATGAAGTGGCATATTCATTATCTTCCAAAAATAAATCTAATGTGAAATAGGGTGAGTTGGCATATATAGTACCTAGTGCAGACCATGTGAGATTTTCTTTGAGGAATATACCAAAGAAATGTTTGCATGGATATGCTGAATCAAACCAACTAGGACATGAACAAGTGGGCAAATTTTCACCATCACCAAGGTAGCATTGGTAAATTTCTCTACTATTTGAATTAAATGAAGCAACACTGTACAATCTTTCTGTTACAGAAATAATACCACTTAAGTCGACACCTTGTAGTTTATCTATTAACATCATGCAATGTTTCACTAAAGGTCGAGGACGATTAACTAAATATTCTGGTATATTGTTATTGTATTTTCTGTAAGATGAATGCGCCTTTTTATTTTTATCACAATAGCTAAAAATAATATGTATGACATATCAATATAATTTAAAAACATATATTAAAAATACTGTACATTAATATAATTTTTTTATTGTTATTTTTTATTTTAGTTTTTTCTTATTCTAGTGCTATTAGTTATTGTGTAGCTATTTTTTTAAAAAAAAAAATTTTTATTTGGAAATTTTAGAAATTTTTTTTACTTTTTTTACAACAAAATTTTTTAAAACAAATACAAGTTATCTAAATTACCTCATTCTTAATGAGCTTATTTGGAGTACTGAGATTCATATTGTATTTAATTCAAAAGTTCCAAACTACCCATGTTACATTTATATCAAACCTCTCTTAAATGCAATCTGACACTATTTTTTAACAAAATATATTTCTTAGTTTCTCTAGCAAACAAACTCTAGAAATATACTAATTCTGCTGTGACAAAAATTTAAATAAAAAACTTTTTGTACAGTCACACTGTAGCTTAACACCCCCATCCTTATGTGAAATTTGGTTGCACTTTCCACTTTTTAATACACTTTTCCTCATTAAGACTTTTACTTATTATTTTAACAGCAACATAAGTATTTGAAAATATATAAGTTTAACAATATAGAAATCTTGTAGTGAAAATTTAGTTTTTATTCCTTTTTTTTATTATAAAATCTGCCTGTTAATCCCCAAAAACCTCAATTAGCAATTTAATTTTATCATATTTCATGTTCTTTTAAAACCCTGCACTGTAAACTAACCTGTCATAGTTATGAGGAAGAAATTCTTCAATGCAAATATTAAGCATAGAAGTTAGTGAAGAATTCTTTCTTTTTTCAAGGAAGCTGTATTTAAAAGTTTGGTTTTGTCTTTCAATGCCATTGTTGGTGTTAACATTCAGCAAGAGACGATCTTGCCTGTATGCAAACGCCCATCTCTAAAAGAAAAAAAAAAAATTTCCCAAAAATTGGACTCTTTATTCTCAGCGATTATAAGAAGCTGTATGTATCACTAAAATACAAGTAAAGATAGTCTATAACTTATTAGAAAAATTTTTTTTGCTTGAAAACCGACAAGCAGTTAAATTCTAAACAAAACTCGTACTAACCTTTTGAATACACAACCATGTATGTTTCAAATATTCTGCCAGTTTTGGACTATTTTGCCACTCTTGCGACTCTTCTAATTCCTGCACTTTTTTTTGGAAAATTTCATCAGTTTTTGCATATGCAATAGCTCGAAATTTTTCCTTTACTTTATTTTTCACCAAGCAACATCCATTAGCGGTTTTAGAAAGCCATCGTTCCCATGCTTGTTCACGATGAAAGTCACAAATATGTACCTGGCATCCTAGTTAATGAATCATTTGTTAATTTTAAAAAACTCTTCATTATATAGCACCAAAGATAAATTTGCCAATTTGATGTTTACTAGAGCACCACTATTGGTACATATAAAATAACAAATTCTAAAAAATCTTACCAGGGAAAACAGATTCAAGTGAATTTATTTCTTCATTGCTGTAATCAGTTAAAAAATAAGTTGGTTGAAACAATGGATTCCACTTTTTGATGTACATTAGGGCTTCTGTAATTGCCTCAGTTGTTTCATTTTCAAAAACAAAAATTGCAACAACTTGATAATCAATATTTGTTTTGACAACAAGAAAAAAAAGTGGAAGTGCATATCGCGTTGTATGATATGTTGCATCCAGAAAGGCAAGCTCATTCCCATATCGTAAGAGTAATCTTTGTTGCCATGCATCTTGATAAATAAACAAAAAAGAAACTTTAGGATATGGACCATTGTCTTCTAGATTGCATTCTCCTTTTGGCCGAAACATTATTAACGCATCTGGAAAATAGAGTTTCCATTCATTTATCTTTTCACGAAGACATTCTTGATCGATCAAAGATCTGCGAAGACTTTGTCTAGCTTTCTTTATATGATTAGCAATTGTTTCATCACGCGGAAAAAATCGTTTGTTGGATTTCTTTGCAGTCACATCTGACTGAAGTTCCAGATGAACAAAGGCATTCAGGTGACGTCTCATTTCCGGAACCGTATTGACACCATTTTTAACAAGTTCAGCAATTTTTGTAATAATTTCTTTTGATAAAGGCTGATTAAAACCTGCTGCCTATATATATATATATATATATATATATATATATATATATATATATATATATATATATATATATATATATATATATATATATATATATATATATATATATATATATATATATATATATATATATATATTTATATATATATATATATATATTTATATATATATATATATATTTATATACACACACACACATACAAAATATTGTAAACAAAAAAAAAAGTAAGGTAAAAATAAAATAAATTTTCAATCAAATGTAAAAGTGACACATTAAACTTATTAAATTAAGTATAAAAACAAAATTTACATCATTAATAAGATGATTTTTATGAACGGAAATGTCAGGTAACAATAAGATATACTTTCTAAGAATTGAAAATTCAGTTAGAGTTGTCAAAGCTGAATGCAATTTCTTTGATGCTTCTTTTCTACCTCTTAGAGAATCTCTATCCAGCTAAAATAAAAACAAACAGATTTAGTAAAATATTTAAAAGAAAAACCTATTTGCCATAAATGAGAACAGTAAAATATAGACTTAAGAAATTTGAAACCTCCTAAAATTGTAATATTAGTTAAAGGTTTATTTAAGCATCAAATATAATGAACAAAGTTGAAAATACAAGCAACATTTTTTGATTCGAACCTCGAACCTCTGGGTTCTGAGCCAGAACTCTAACCACTATGCCACAGCTGCTCAAAGTTTTAATATTTATTTATTATCTCATTTTCCCTCATTTCTTGTTTATTATTTCAATTAGGATTTAGCTATTAATTTTTGTCTGTTTTGATGTTATAGGAGGCTCAATAATTCTTTTTGATTATGGATCAAATGATCGAGACCGGTAACTGACTGATAATAGTTTTTTAGTTGCTTAGGATTACAAATATATAACTTTCTATAATTATATACAACAATGATGTCTATGATGTTTTCTTTGAATTTCTCTTATACTCTTTTTCTTATTTTCTATGCCTCTAGGCTATCTTCTTCTCTTCTAACTGTTTGCTAGATTTGGAAGTTTGGTTGTGTTCAGTCACAGCAGAGAGTACATAGAAGAACTGACTCAAATAGAGTTAAATGCAGATAAGTGTACATACATCAAGCAAACTTTAAATAAGTTTATAAGTTAGACTACCTCACCTTAAAAGCAGGGAATTCAACTATTTCTTTTAGAGAAATATTGGCAGGACAATCAAACTTCTTGGTATCCTGCATAAGAACTCGCTTTTTCTGGAAAGAATGATCTGCTGTCTGTGAATTTAAAAAAAAAACTATTGTATTAAAAATAAATCAACATATATTGTTGTATAATTTACCAAAACACTTTCTTCTGAAAACACAATGAAGATTATATATTTATTGTATAACTTTTAAACTGTAAAATCTGAACTAGCACATTGTAGCAGACAACATACCAAATAAAATCTACATTTTACTTACTGCTTCTTGTTTTTTTTCATTCTGTACTTATTTTTTGCTGCACAATTTACAACACACAGTAGATATGTATTATATTCATACAATATTAAAATATATTATACATTAAAAATTAATTTAAAACATTACATACATATAAAATACATAAATACAAAACATGCACATACATTATGTATATTCAAAATATGCACTAACGTATGCACGTATGTAAATATTTTATTAAAACTTTTCATAAAAGAGACCTTTGTTTTCTTATTCCTGAAACATTATTCTACAAAAATATCCCATTAAAAAGTTACATTAAAGAATAAAAATTACCCGATAAATCTTCCAATTGGAGAGAAAGTTCATCTTTACTCATTCTTATTTAAATAATAATGCAAAAGTTTATATAAAGCAAACTTCGTCCAAATTTTTATAAACTCGTTTTATAAAAATCCAGCGTGCTTGTTTTTAATTTAAACGCATGCGTATAAGCAGATGAAAACATTCTAGGTCTGCGTTTTTTTAAAAGTTCAAAATGTTATTTTGAATCATCCGATAGAACGCTAACCGTTCATATTCGCCCCCGTTTACGGTATTTTTTTATTAAATCACATATCTCATTTTCGATCACTGGATTAAGAAAAAAATCAAGTTTTTAAAATAGCCAATGAAAATACGTTTAGAAGAAATCTTTTTACCTTCGGGTGGGCATTGTATTTTTCATAGCAGTTGTTAAAAATGCGAGCAATGGTATTACTGTTTAAAATAGTGTTACAAATACGTTTGAAAATGCAAGATTTTTTTGGTGCGGATGGTTTTATGTCTTTTTTTTTAATTTTTATGATAACTATTTCTTGTATTGCTCTCCGTGTATTTTTTGCATTGTTGAGGTTTTTTAAAAATGGAAATGTAGTATGAAATTTTGGAAATTCCTAATTATTAGGAATTTCCAAAATTTCATACTACATTTCCATTTTTAAAAAACCTCAAGTCTCTTCAATAAATTTAAATTAAAATAAATTTAAAAAACCCAAAGTCTCTTCAATAAATTTAAATTGTGCAAAAATAAAATTTGCAACTTATTAGGCTAATAAGTTGCAAATTTTATTCTTGCACAATTTAAATTTATTGAAGAGACTTTTTGTGTTATATATAGGTTATATCATCTATATAGTTTAGTAAGTAGTAATAGACTAAGAATAGGATGTCCAAAATTTTAACACAAAAATTTATTTAAATATAATAATATTTATTATATATTATGTATTACATAAAAAAAAAAATTATATAAATATTTTATTAAATTATTTCAAAATTTTTCCATAATTATCAAAAAACCAACGTGGTTTTTGGGGTGCATATGATGTGGTTTTTGTAGTACATTTGAAGTGTTCTATAGAATATAAGTTAGCAGTGATGCAATCATCCTAAAAGCAATTTATTATAACAATCTTCTTCAAAAAATCAGGTTAAAATTCTTAGCAGTTAAGAAATTATTGTTAAATTAGTTAATGTGGTTTTCGGGGTGCATAGCGAAAATAAGAGTCAGCTTCAACATTCAAGCAAAAGAAAACAAGTGAGACACCATATTAAGGCTTATCTTTCAATAGTAATGACTTAAAAAATATTATTTTTCTCAAAAAAAAAAGTTTTGGACTCTCCTACTTTCATGTGGTTTTTGGGGTGCAACCACCTGTAGTATTTAATTTGAAAAAAAAGGCCAATTTAAGTCTGTACGTTCTCGTATAAAGATTAATAGACTAATGGCTTTAAATTGACGTTACTCGTTTACAATTAAATGAGCGCTCGCACTGAAAATGTCAACATTGCAAAATAAACAGTAAACAATATTTGTTTTTATGATTTGCTCATGTCAGTTTTCTCATATCAGTCTTGTTTCTTGTTTTTACAATTAAGCACAGTGGTTAGTATAGTCTTTTTATGTCAAGTAATGTGTTGAAAGTAACTACCATCGAATTCTAAATGGAATTGTTAGCCTGATTTTAAAACGTTATATGTTCCAAGTAATTTAGGTACTATTTTATTTTTATTTTGTTTTAATCTTTGTCAATGTGTTTGTATTTTTTTTAATTTAATAAAATTAGAGACAGTTTAGCGTAAATCACTTTTCTAAAAAAAAGAGAAAAATAAAAAAAGAAATATATATAGCGCAAATGGGCTTGATCATCAAGCCTATGTATTCATACAGTAATTAAACAGTATATATTTATATTGTAATTAAACAGTATGAATTCATACTGTTTAAATAAATAGATAAATTAAAGAAATTCATTATGTTGCCCTTATTTTAAAACTTTTTACTTTTAAAATAAATTTTATTAGTCAAGTAGTTACTATAGTTATCCAATTTTTTAATTTAAAATTAGTTTTTGTTATTGCATTTAATATTTAATAAGTTGTTTATGAGTAATTGATTCCATTGTTTAATTTTTTGTTTACTAGATCACAATTATAATTTTGTAACATAAATACATTAAAAGACATCCATTGAATATCATTGTATAATCAATCTCTGTTGGTTGGTAAATTATAGCGTTGACTTATAACCTGATAATTAAACAGCATTGATTCTTATTAAATAAAAATATACAAAAAAAGCAGAAAAAAAAAATTGACTTCTGAAGTCGTGGTTAAAAAGTAGGTTAAAAAGCATTTGAGAGATCAAGTCCTAATGTATAAAGTTTGAGTTATCAAGTCCTGAGGTATGAAATTTGTGTTAATTTGAGTTAATAATGTTCTGTAATATGAAATTTAAGTCATTAAGTTTAGGATTACAAAATTTGAGTTATCAAAATACGAAGTGTAAAGTTAGAGTTATCAAGTTCAGAAATATGAAATTTGAGTTATTTTAATTAACTTTTAAATTATAAAAAAGTAACAAAATATTTTTTTGAAATCAGTTCAAGGAACACATATTTCTTAGATTATGACAAACAAAACAAAACAGAAAAATTTTTGAAATATCTTTTAAGCCTAATCTAGAAAAATACTAAACATAGAATACTAGAGAAACATAATATAAATAATATAGATACATAAGATAAATACTACAGATAAAAGTACTTAAGAAACATAATTTAGAAAAATCTTACCGATAAAAATACTAGAGAAGCATAATTTAAAAAGTTGTTGCACTTTAAATTGTAGTTTTGAATATTGTTATTTTTGGTTGTTGGGTGTGAGAGAAAACTCCTTGAAAATAAAGTTGTCTTGTAAAATCAAATTGTAAAAATAGTGTGTAATTTTATATTATATAACATAAATTAATTAAAAAAAAAATAAATTAATAATAAAAACAAATTTGCTGAAAGAAGTTAACAAGTTTTTGTTTTATCAAGAAAGCTATTAAATCTCACTTTTTCTATTCCATCTATTGCAGATTAGAGGATTTCTGTTATTTTTAGTTATCATCAGTATATTGACAGTATTGAAATATTTATTGCATTGGAAATTTGTTGAAGCTCAACAAATTTGTTAAATTTACAACCATGATAAGAGTAGGGGATCTAGATTACAGCCATGGGTAAAGCAAGGGGTCTAACTAAAATGAAAGTAAGGTTTTTAAAGTTTATGGATTTTCTTATAATGAACTTAAGATTATTTAAATTTAGCTTGCTATATTTTATATGTTATGTTAATATAAGTAAATTAAGGAAGAATTGCTGAAAGTTATTTTAATTTGATTGTTTATAGCTCAATAAAAAAAGATCTCGAATTTTACAGTAATCACTTGAAATAAAATAAAATCTTTTTTTGTTTATTACTTGTGTATATTTCTTATTTGACTTATGGTAAAAAAGTTAATTTTGTAAAAATGATCATTTTTTTTTTGTATACTTTATTTTCAACTTAGGTTGTATGATTCTGGAATCCCTAATAAGCATTTAATGTCGATTAATAAAGTCTCAGTGAATAGTTAACTATAAAAACAAAGCTTTTATTATATGTCTACATATAATACTTATTTAACAGATCATTATGTACATCGAATAGTTAAACAACATATTCTAAAAGCAACTAAAATAGCAATTTTAAAAGCCATTAAAAACAGAACTACTTTTTACCTTACTGTGGGCCTTTTTCACCTTACTATGGGTCTGTATATATTAAATTTATATATATTTTTATAAAGATATTTACTTGGCATTAGCATATTTCTTATCTTTTTACAAGTTTATTATATGATTTATTAAAGGTTTCTACAAAAAAAATGGGAAATGGTCTATTTAGCAGCTTAGTTAAAACAGAAGGTATATGTTTTTTCAATTTTTTGTTTTTATAATCATTTGATTAATAATTAATTAATTTTTTTTTTTTAATTTTTTTACTTATTTTAATGATTTAAATTTAAAACTTTAATTTATATATCAACAAATGATAAGTAACGGCAAAATCCTAAAAATCAGTAAAAAGCAAAAACTGTTAACACAAATCACAAGGCTAGTTGCTTTAATTCTCACTCTTTAAGCTCTGCAGTTCTATCAACACATTTCTTTCTAAATATTTAAGTGTTGTTTTGCAGAATATGACTTTAGGTAATTAATATAATTATTATAAGTGACATTTGGTGTAATAAAAAAATGCTCTAGGCACTTCCAGGGTCTTAAAAAAAGAAAAAAAGAAAAAAAAGCTCTTTTTTACTCTAATCTGGTGTAGTGTATTCACTTTTAACAAAGAAAGAACTATTAACTATAAAGTCTCAACTTTATAGTTAATAGTTCTTTCTTTGTTAAAAGTGAATTAGTTAAAAAATTAAAAATAAAAATACAAACAGATTGTTTTTAAAAAAAAAACTCTTAAAGTTTAATTGAAAACAAGTATCAAGTAAAAACTCAAATTGAAATAACAAAATCAAACTGACACCAGAAAATAACTTATTGTATATTATAGTTTTATATATTTTATATGCATATTAAAGGGTAAACAGATTCTATCTGGTGACCAGCTTCGCTTCCCTTTTTCATCTATTAGACTGGTGTAGATGTGTTTATAATACAACTTTTTCTATTATCTCCTAATAATAAATCTCTTAAACAAAGTTTTTTTGTTAAAGAGATTTTTATTTATACTGATTTATTATTAAATCTGAGTACCAGCCTGAGGCTGGTACTCAGATGAGGTTTCCTAAACTCAGTAGCTCTCAGTGAGGCTGATTCCATTACCAGCCGTAAAATATTAGAGAATTGATGTTTCCAATGTTGGTTATGGATGGTGTCTATTTTCGTTATTTTGATGTGCATTGTTGAGGCCACATTTGGACTCCCTTGTTACGACAGGATTTAATAGTAATTTAAAAATTGCTTGGATTATTTTCTTTTAATTTTTTACGCTCCAATTGTCACATGCTAGGCCTGGGCATTTACATTGGTAAGAGTTCATCCATTTGTCTGGAAACTAGATTTGAATCAACAGACCATTCGTTTATGTGTTTTTGTTAAGCACCACCACTCTATTACCTTTCACTTTGTTCTATATTGCTCTCCTTTATCTCAAGACTTTTTTTGATGTTATTTTTTAATGTTAAATTTACCTAGCCCTTTCTTTTTATCTTTCAGCCAATAATTAAAGCCCACAAGTTTTGCATTTCTCAATCTCCAACATAATTAAAAAAAAAAGAAGAAAAAAAAAAACTATTTTTATAACCTAAAAATTAAACTAAAGATTTAATGTTTCTTCATTATTTTCTGCATAATAATTACTTGAAGATGTTTAAATTTGAATTTAGTTTCTCGGCAATACCTATCAAAAAAAAAAAAAAAATTTGACTTTTTATTTCTTCCCTACTAAAACTTAAAAAAGTGTCTCTATTTTTAGCATAATTTATTTAATTTTGCATGATTAAGTTATGCATAGTTTTGTATAATATACTAGTGGACTTTGACCATCTTCTGTTAAAAATATGAATTGTCCATGACTTAATAGTTCTGATTCATGGAGTGTACTTTAGTGGTTATGAAGACACAAATGTTAATAAAGTTTGTAACACTAATAATGGTTTAATTGTAGTACACATCAACTAATTGTATTTTATAGTTTTATATATTTTATATGCATATTATTAGGTAAACAGATTATATCTGCTGACCAGCTTTGCTCGCCTTATTCATTTATTAGAATGACTTCAATGTGTTTATAATACATTGTTTTCAATTGATGTTTAATGATCTTCTTGACATTTTTAATATTTTTATTTAATAGTTTAATTAATTAAGTTTCATTTGTTATACTAATTTTTTTCTGTAGCTGATTTGATTATAAATTTAGATTATAAATTTGGATTTAAAGACTGATTTTAGTGGTTATAAATACAGTTATTAACAACAATTTTTCTTTTGTTTTTAGTTTTTATTAACTTGTTTGCCTTTTTTTTTTTACATGTTTAAAGTTTAAATTTCTTATGTTTAGTGTCTAGAAATGAATTGGCTTCTGATGAATTTATTTCAAAATGTTGTGGTGAAACAAGCTATAATATTGGAAGTGATTGGTTGCGATGGGGAAGACACCTCGGTCTAAGTGATTCAGATCTTGATAACATTGGCTCTGATAACAAAAATTGTTATGAAAAAGCTGATAATGTTTTTAAAAAATGGAAACAAAAAGTTGGAAATCCTTCATGGGAGCAATTAAAAAAAGAATTAATGGCTTTCAATCGATTAGATATTGTGATTAAAATTGAAACAAAATTTGGAGGTAACAATACTAAATAAGAATCATATTTTCTTTTTATTTTCTATTTTCTGATATGTGTTTTTTATTTATTGATATGATAGAACTATAGATCATTGGCATACGCTTTACTTTACTATTTAAAAACTATAGGAATTAGGTTCGACATTCGGCAATGACGACCTCAAACACTTTTAGTTTAGCATTCAACCCCTGACCCTGACTCTAACCCTAACCCTTACATCTAGCAACTCTAGTGTTGGCGTGCGACTCTATTTAATTTATTGTACATTACATCATTACACAGCAGGCATCAATGCGCACTTTTTTTAGTGACTAGATTTCATAGTGACTAGATCATTATGTCTGCTCCACAAAACAGTTTGCCATTTATGGATTACACGCAAAAATAATCATAAATATTTAAAAGTGAGCATTTTATCAGCTTTTTACCAATAGTTAGTAAAGTATTTATTATATTTCTAACGTATTGATTATAATTCTAATGTGACAATTTGTCACATTAGAACTATTGGGTTTTATCTGCTTTTTTTTATGTTGTGAGAACTTAACTTTCAATATTTATTTACAGCTGTTATTCATTATAATTACAAATTATAAGTTGTTTATGTTATCTGTTAAAAATGTTAAAAAATGGCATAATAAATTTTTTCAACATAAAACAAGGCAGATAGAACCCTATAATTCTCATGCAACGAGTTGTTAACCATTTTATGTAAATTGCAGGAAATAATTTCAGATGAGTCATATTTAAGATACAAGAGCAGACTGGCAAACTCAACTTGATAGGGTGTGGGTTGGGTTGAACATGAACACCTAGATAATGGTCTTAGGGTGAGTGAATGACAAACAGAGAAAACCTCTTTTAAAACAGACTTGGCTAGGATTGTTAGATGTCAGGTTTTTACAAAGGTAAAAGTGTTTTGATTTTTGTAGGTTCAGTATTGTATTTTTCCTTGTAAAAGCCAGTCAACTAGCAACTCTAGTCTAAGGAAGCCTTTTCTGCCTGATCTGATTTTTCTGTAAGCTCTTAGCATTTTTACAGACACTTTAAATGTTTCAAATAATGTTTTGATAAATAAGGTAATGAATAAAATTGAATAATTTTGATAAATTGTTAGGTTTTTTTTATAGTTTTACAACGCTATTTTTTTTTTTTTGCTCAGTTTTTTAGGTGCAGTTTCATTTGTTTTTATTTCACTCTGGTGGTGTTTTGCTTTATTTTAGCTCCACATGATTTCAACTGTCTAAGTTTTTTCAGTTTCATACTAGGTTTGTTACAAGGCATGAAACACAGACCATAATTTTTTATAATTTGTCAGGAGGTCAAAAATTATATGAAAAGATATTTGTAGTTAAACCTTGCGGGAATGAGTTGAACCCTTTTAGAATTTTTTGTTATTATTTTCTATAGATACATTTTTAGTATTTTTTTTTTACTCCATATTTTTATTTCAAGTTATAAATATATATAGTTATAAATAAGAACTTTATATTTTATTTAGAGATTTCAAGTTCACCAAACAAAGATATCACTGATTCTTCCAATAAAGGTAATTTTTTTAATTGGTTTACGCTTTGTTTGCTTCAAAAGTAAGGAAATTATTTTATGTTAAATAATATATTAAGTCAAGTACTTTTATTAAGTTTTAACTTTTTCATTTGATTTTTAATTTTTTTCATTAAACATGCGTTTTTATGTTTACTTACTTTATTTGCTTATTTTATTATTTTTGCTAATCATCAATTTTGTTCATTGTGTTTTCGAATAATGTGTGTTTATTTTTACTGTATTTTTTCAAAGATTTATTGTAGTGGCAAGTTTGACTTTAAAAGTGTTATATAATAAATTAAAATAAAAAGATGTTAATTTGATTCACCAAGTATTTTAATTGAGCTCACTAAGTATGTTATAATTCCTAGATGTAGCAGTGTCACAATTTAAATAGTAATGATAAATAATTCTTTATTTTGTTAACAAAACAACTGAAAAATCTGGCCAGTTTTTTGCAACTAAATATTATTTCTGTGGTCAGTAACCCCACTTCCTGACCAAGCTTGCTCTAAAAATGTTAACTACTCTTAATAGTTGGTTGGTAAGTACACTACTAATGTTTAGTATTTTAATTGCTTACCACAGCAAATCCCATATGTTATGAATGTTTTTTTATTGTTTAACTTTTATGACTATCTAGATATGGAATATCGATTTTGTAGGTTTTAGGGGAATCAATGATAGACTATCACAATTTAAATGGTTATGATAAATAACTTTTTATTTTGGTATCTCACAACAACAAATCCCATCTGTTATGAATGTTTTTTTATTGTTTAACATTTATGACTTATCTAGATATGGAATATCTATATGGACTATATATTTTGTTGGTGGTTTAAGGGGAATCAATTACCAAAGAGACACTTTTTTGTATTATGACCCTGAAATAAATTATAAATAACAATCCTTTGTAAAGTAGGCATTTCTCTAAAAGTGTTCACTGCTCTTAATAAGTGGTTGGTTAATATGTTTGAAATTGAACTAGAACTAGTTTTAAAAAAACTTATTAAAAGTTATTTTAACTCACTTGAGGCTTTTTTCAGTAAACAATACCTTTTGACATATTTGTTTTTGTTTATTGTTACTGCAATAGTAGTGTAGTGGCACTTTAGAAATCACATCCAATGATTACATCGTTTTCCAAGAAAATTCTACTAAGGTATTAATATGCATATTTTGGAAAACAACTATGTAATGTTTTAAAATACTTTATATTGTTCATAAAAGCTTTTCAAGCATAAATATTTCGATAAAAATCTTTATTTATGTTTAAACTGAGTTCATTAATTCTTATAGTTTATTCATTAATTCTTATAGTTGCTAAAATATAAAGAAAGATCAATCTTTTCTACCATCTGTTTTTAAATTAATAATTTTTTTTTTAACTAATTTACTCTAACAAGGCTGCAGGCAACTACTTTTATGTTGGAAAAAAACAAAAATATGTATGAATAAATTTATCATCAAATTTATCATAGAACAAATTTATGATGTGTATCTAATACGAACACTTTCATACTGGAACTCATGCAATTGTTGTCAACAAACATGTTTAGTCAAGGTCATTAAGAAAGATTAAGATATTTAGAAATACTTAATTTTATCCATTCCATCTAATCTATTGCATTCACTAATTGGATTCACTAAGTATGTTATAATTCGTAGATGTAGCAGTATCACAATTTGATTTACTAAGTATGTTATAATTTCTAGATGTAACAATATCAAAATTGGATTCTCTAATTATGTTATAATTTCTAGATGTAGCAGTATCACAATTGGATTCACTAAGTATGTTAAATAATGTCCTTTTATTAAGTTTTAACTTTTTCATTTGATTTTTAATTTTTTTCATTAAACTTGCATTTTTATGTTTATTTACTTCAGTTGCTTATTTTATTATTGTTGCTAATCATCAATTTTGTTTATTGTGTAACTGGTTTAAGTAAATTCATACTTCATTAGTTATTTTAAAACATTGTTTTTTATACAATGATCACTTAATAATTTACTGATGAAAAACAATAATTTGTTATATTATTGTATTAAATTTTTCATTATCTGGCTATTTTTATGACTATTAAAGTCATATAATTTTTTGTTATCTGCATTATTTAGGTTAAATTACCACAGTTTAGAAATTATAACCTTATAAACATGACAATATATCTCCCTCAATTTACAAAATAAAAAAAAACTACTTTAAAGACATAATTTATATATTATTTCTTATTATTTCTAGAACTATTATCAGGATTATCTATTTTTATATCTGTTATATTATTTTTTTTTTATATCTATTATGATAGAGCCAGACGTAATGTCTACAGAATGGATTTCAATTGATTGAATGCACACATTAGTCACCATAGGCCACAAGCCATCACTCTTAGCCAAAAGACCTACTGCCCTGTGCTGGTGTGGAATGATGTGCTATGAAGTGAGATTTCAGATCCGAGCACATAGTCAGCGAGTGCTGGTCTGATGTGCATTGTGGAGCTTCCGACTGAAAGTGTGCGTGAGTGTCAGCATAGTCATTAGGTTATTGAGCGCCGTAACCACATCCAGCGGGATAGCTATTTTTATTTTATCTATTATATTATCATTTTTTAAAAGTATTTTATTAACTTTCATCTTATTAGAGATTAATGTCTAATTTAAATTCTCTTCAACTTTAAAAAAAGTTTTAAAACTCTTGATAAAATACCAAAATAAAGTCAAATCAAGTCTTTTTCTATTCATTTACAAGTCTTTACAGGTAACTTTTCCGATTAACTTCTATTGTTTACAATAAATTGGCAAAACATTAGAACTCAAATATATCTAAAAAATTGTCAGTTTTCCTAAAAACTCCAAGTTAAAGGTACTATTGTTTTCTAAAACATAACAACTATAATTTAAAAAGTTTACTTTATTTGTTTTTATCCCAACATAATTTTTTGCAGCATAAAAATATGTTTTTTATTGCAACTTAAATAAATCTTGTAACACTAAATTGATTATACTCTGAAAAGAAAAATTACTATTTGAATACAAAAATATTTGCAAATAGAATAAAAGTAAATTAACTGTAATTTAAAAAGTTATTTAATATAAATTAATTGATATTGAAGCGATTATTTTTATTGCATCTTTAATAGTTCTATACTAAAAATTTCTACCAGAAATAGAGCAAGGACTGGAAGATATTTTCAATATGTTGAAAATAAAACATTAGTCTTCTATTTGATACAGTTGAATGGAACTTTCGGGTTGAAGAAACTTGACTTCAAAATCAGCTTCTTCTAGGTTAATTTCAGTTATGATGCTGATCCACCACTTATCATCATTGACTACATAACTTTCTATACTGACAGCATCAGCTTAAAATATATATTGTCTTTTTTTAAGATAGTGGATTGTTATGTAGTTAGTGTATGTACTAAACCTTTTTGTCCCAACTGTTGTCCTCAATATATACTGATGAATGCTACAGGTACCAGAGTTACTGCAATGTTGTACCTTTCTTGTTGTGCTTCATGTTGCAATTGTAATTTGTAACTTTGATTTTCTCAAAATTCATACATGGCTCCTGATGAACTGAGAACTTAGTTTCATTATGATTATTTCAAACTTGCTTACACTGTCAACTTTTTTAGAGTACAAACAATCCAATCACATGCTGACTTTTTATGTTGAGCGGCAAAAAGTTTCATTCAGCTTTAAGGCCAAAATCTTTTTTTCAAATTAACATAGATTGTAAAATCTTTTATACTGAAAACTATTGATACATTATCAATTTTTGTACTGCCATGCACAAGCATCAGTGAAATAATGTACACAGATAAGGAAATTTTATTTTTAATTTGGGTAAGATTAGTTGAAATGTTTTGCACACATAGATTATATCATGTGTAATGTCATCTGATATAATAAAATAAGAAATATGTTTAAATACACCTTCATTTTCTTTATGGATGTTAAGAATATTGTGAAGGGTTATGCAATCTCGTTTCACATTTTGTATTGTATTTTATTTGTTTATCTCAAAATCATCTTTAGTAATTAATTGTTTGACTACTGTATAAACAATATTATAGAAATTATTTTTTCAAGATTGATAAAGATTGACTGAAAAATTGTAAACCACTTTGAAAATAAATTTTTATTTAAGTAGAACAATTTCTAAACTAGAAGCTATCTTCAATTTAAATTCCCCCTCCCTTTTCCCTGGTAATACCATGCTCAATTTGTTTCTTTAGGCAGTGACCTTATTTGTCAAGAGTTGTATTTTGGAGTTAAAGAGTTGAGAAAGGATTTTATTCACATTATAGTATCCTCCTTGATTAGAGTGGTCCTCTTGGCCTTGGTGAGGTGAACAATATTAAAAGAAAAAAAAAAAGAAAAAAACGACCTAAAACGTTACTACAGATAGTTTACTCAGTTGTTAAACCTATCTAACATGCACTAAAATATTTACTTGCCCAAGTTAGCCATAGTAATGTTTCTATTTCTTAATCTTCCTACCATTATTAATAAAGTGTTAAAATCATTAGCTAACAAACATAAAATACTTATTATTAAAGAAAAGTTACTTTGTGCATTGGGTACTAATCTTCTGATTGATTTTGCTTTATATGGTGAATCTGAGGGAGTTTTTTAAACTATTGAACTATCATTCACTACTGACCTCTTACGGAAAGTATATATAGCTGCTTAGATGCATCTTTTTATCATGGTTGCCATTTTCTTTCTTCTGCTTCAATTCTATACCTTACTAAATCTTTTATTTGTCTCTTGTTTATATGTTTCTTCTTGTTCATACTGTTAACTAATTACTGTATGCTAAAGTAAGACATAATAACGAATAAAAAAAATTTGTCAAATAACATTACCTCAAATTAAAATTTTGGTTTCAGTCTTTAAAACTACCAATAAAAGTCTATTCTTTATAAATGATTTAATTCATAATAATTACCAGGAATTTTCATGTTAAGAAGTTTCAGAACTTCATTT